ATAATCAAGCGGGATTCGTCATATCGAGCAAACTAATGCATTGCATGAGTTGTTGCATATTTGCCATACATTTATTGACACCGAAAAACAATACATTACGAATACAGCAACATAACTGCTTATACGTGTAATCAGTTACGTACGTGTAATCAGTACGTGTAAATAAATAAATAAATGGTGTATTAACACTGTAAATATATTTGTGTAAATAATTTTACATATATATATAATAAAATCTTAATTATACCGTAGCCTAAATTTCTAATATTTTTCTTTCATACCTACGAAATAGTTTATTACATAAAACATATATATTATATATACGTTTATATGTACGTATATATTATTGTAATTATTTTTGTTGCAACAATTTAAAAGCAGTTTCTAATAACGACATTAAATACGTGTACTGTAAAATATGTGTATTAATAATTGTGCCAGATAAAATTATGATGTAATTAAATGCATTTTTAATCTACAACTTGTAATATAAAGTAATTCCCATTAATTGAATTTTCATCTAGTGTATAGAATTTTAAGTATATTTCGGTATTTAATAAGACGCATTTAATTTATACTGTTCCTTCATGACTAGTAACATCATCAGCCGGAGGTTCATGAGATCCAATCATTTCAGCTCTTCTTGCAAACTGAATAAAGAGCTGATCCAGAGTTGCAGATAAGACAGCGTAATCCTCAATGCAACTATATTTTTGCTTCAAACTCTTCATTGTATCATACATTTTTTCCCATGTTGTATTACAATCAGTTACATGATAGCCAAGAAAACCCTGTAAATAGATAAATAACAATGAAGAGTAGGATAAATAATAAATTAAAGCAATTAATTGTTCTTATCTAAGCAAAGAAAAATCATTACCAAATTTTCGTCTTTAATATCGCACGTTAGAGTAGACTCAATAATTTTTTTAATATTGTCAACATCCTCATCCGTTCGGACTGGATTTAATTTTACATGAATATTGTAACCCGCTCCAAATCGCTGCTTCAATTCTTGACATGCACCAATGCAGACTAATTCACCTTTCACCATGATAACTAGTCGATTACAAAGTGCTTCACACTCTTCCATGCTGT